ATTACCCATTAGCTTTTTCTTGAGTTGCCCATGCCCGCTGTATATTTTTGGGCATCAGAAACAACACGTGTGTGCTTTCTTTTATATATATGAAAAAACCCACAGGAAGCATGCATCAAAAATGGAATTTTTTTAGGTCATAAGTACTTCCAATTTATCAGTGTTGTCATAGAATTTTAACCGTGAAGACACAGTGATGAAAAATTAAAGCTACTATTTCTTGGTGTCACTGCCCTGATCAGAGTTGAGGCTCCAGCAATTTTAATCAGTTTTACAATTAGGATGCTAGCATTTTATCCTAGTGCTACTCTCTCTCTCTCTCTCTCTTTCTCTCTCTCTCTCTCTCTCTCTCTCTCTCTCTCTCTCACACACACACACACACACACACACATATCACACACTCAAACAACTCACATACACACTACCCATAAACACACACACCACGCACAGACATGGATACACATACACACATGCACACACTATCTCCCCCAGAAGTGTCAACATACATACTCACACACACACATATATATACATATATATACATATATATAAAACACACAATGCACACACATACACATACTCACACATAGCATGCACCTGCACACATAGAACACACATGCATGAATGCACATACACCACACATGCGTGCAAACGCATGTACACACACACACACATACAAACACAAACACATTTTGTTTTTTGTGGGTTTTTTTTGTTTGTTTTTTCGAGACAGGGTTTCTCTGTATTGTTTTGGAGGCTGTCCTGGAACTCGCTCTGTAGAACAGGCTGGCCTCGAACTCACAGAGATCCGCCTGCCTCTGCCTCCCGAGTTCTGGGATTAAAGGCGTGCGCCACCAACGCCTGGCCCCCACACACATTTTGACATTGAGAATTTCTTGTAAGGGTCTCCAGGAACCCCAAGATATAGATCACAGTCTGAGAACCATTAGCTTAGAACTCCTGGAATTTCACCCTAAAGATGGAAAGTTCGCCCTGTTAGGAATCATGTTGTGAAACTCCATACGCAAACTCACCAGAAGGAAGGAGTGGGGAGGAATCACTGTTGACTGGGCAACACAAAACAATTTTCATGTTACTACCACACAGCGCTCTGTACTGCAAATAAGTGACAATCTGAAGTGTTAGCCTTCAAAGAGCTTCTCAGGACGCATACAAGTCTCCCCTCTTCTCCCTTCTCTTCCTTGCCTCTTCTTCCTCTCTGCCCCTCCCTCCTTCCCTCTCTTACTCTGTACTTGTAGGACCTGAAACTTACAGACAACAGTGCTTACCACACCAGTCATGGATCTCACCAGTCAATCAGTCCAAGGGCCCTAGAGAGGATTCCGTGCATAGAAATGGAAATGCCAGGACACAACCCAAGCACGCATGGATCCGGAAACTTAAGAGGGAAGACCATGCACTCATTTGGCTGCCAAGAAATGCTTCCCTGGTACCGTTAAGGTGAGCCAGCCCTGATGTGAGCCAGATGTGACCCATGTGTCTCTCCTGAACTCTCAACAATTCATATTGAGGAAATACGTGGCTTTGTGTGTGAATAGTTGGTTACTGTATGAATGGGACGTCCAGCAACAACTCTGAAGAGAACATACCTGTTCAATACCAATGCCTGGCTGTGGCACCCAATCTCGGTGGTATAGGAGAGTTTGCTTGGGGAAAGACAGCTGCACAGAGTTCAGGGGAGGGAGCAAGGTGAGGATTTTCTGGAGTGTTAGGAGAGACCACGAGAAGATGAGAGGGGATGGGAGAGAGGACCTTGAAATGAAATCAGATACCTAGGCAAGACCACAGAGAACCTAACTGATCAGGTTAAGAATTGCTTTTTAATTTTGTACTTAGGGAAATGGGGAACCACTAATGAAATTAAACAAGGCACGATTGATAGTATGAGATTTGTGCATTTGTGGAGGCAGAAGACTTGTCAAGAAAGAGCAAGAGTAGCTACGAGAGGATTGTTGGAGGCACTGCCCCAAAAAAATGGAAACAGAGCTGCACGGCTCCTTGACTCTATGCTGGCCTGGTGAAGTCGCAGGTTGACTGTGCCACACCCTCCACCATGGGACTCAAAAGGCCAGGCAGGGAGGAGTTCAAACAAAGCCACACTCGCTGTCACGCAATTGGTTAGAAATGAAGCCCCTCAAGCCAGCAGCCAAAAGCCTCTGTGAGGGACAGGGCTCAGGACCATGGAAGCTGACCGTTATTGGCCACTGTTGTTGTCAGACTTTTCATCTCTGTGACAACTACCTGGCAGAAGCAGCTTAGGGAAGGGGGATTTGTTTCGGCTTTTGGTTTCAGAGGTGTTGGTTCACAACCTTGGTTCCGTTGTTTGTGGTCCTGTGATGAGGCAGGACTTGATAGCGGCAAGGCAAAGGCAGCTCAGATGACAAGAGAGGAGCAAAGAAAGAAGGTCCAAGTAAACAGGCATAACATTTGAGGCCTTCTCCCGGTCACCTTCTTCCTCTTAATAGGCCTCCCATAATTTCCATCCCCCACAGTCAGCCCTCCAGAAGAGAGCCACTTGCTAGGGTAAAGTATTCAAAATGCGACCCTGCCCGGGACACTTCATATTCGAGCCATAAAAGTCAGAGTCAAAGACACAAAAACCTCAATGAACGGATGGATGGTCCTCTACCAAATCAGGACCAGAGAACCAACTGCCAGCTTGCCTCCTGAGGTCACAATTGACTTCCCCCGAGAAGAGGGAGAACAAGTTTGTGCCATCTGGGAGTCCTTTCAAGGCTAGGCTGGCTTCTGTTAGAATTCTGTGCCACTGCCAACAGAGCTAACCCAATGACCGGACCAGGCAGCGCTCTGGTAGGATCTAGTTCATCGGTCTGCTCGGGGGATGTTGTGAGGAGGGTGAGTTTCCCAGGGGCAGGATAAGGAAACATGGTGAAAGTTCAGTGACCCTGGGAAATGGTTCTGTGGAAAGTCAGGAGGAGATGATGTCTGTGACAAATGCCGCAAACAAATCATCGTGGACACTGTGGCACGGCAGTCTACAGACACTTCAGGCTGCTGGGGACCAGCACAAGGGTTCAGCCGTGTCTAGATGGCAAAACCCCTGCAATTAACCTTCACTGAGGCTGGGCGCAGTTCATGTGTAATGCACTGAGATTGAATTCTAGCAACGAAAAAAAAAATAAGTAGTTACGATTCTACCAGTAGGTGAAATTAACCACATTAAGGAGAAAGCAAAGACCAACGTGTTAATCTGAGATTTGGACCCCCTGATGAACAGGTTCATGGAAATCTCCCTTGTATCCAGGGCCACAATAAAACGAAGAAAGGAAAAAGTTTCGATACCCCTTGAAGGGATCCCAGAGAGACCAGGTCTATTCACTACAAACAAGCCAAGCAATTTGCTTACACTCAGCCATCTCCAGTGAGTCTTAGCTCCCAAAGAAAACTCCTAATGGAATCAACACGAGGCCTATAAATCATAACACATCTTATGGTATTAGTAAAACTTTTTAAAATTCATAACTGATCAAGTCATAAACTCTCTTGATAAATAAGACTCCACATAACAAGTTCTGAAATACTATGAGACCTGGTTAAAAAGCATAAACCTGTTGAGTAAATCTGCTATGCAAAAAAAAAAATCTCAATGCGATATATATAATGGAAGCCTTCTTAAACAAAAACCGGGGAAAACAATAAACCTGCTAAAAGGTTCAATTTACTGCGCTCTGGGGCCATATTTCTCACCTGTTTTTGAAGCCGCCAGACAACTCAACCTGTTTAACCTTTGTAGTCCTTTCCCCCAGCAACTTCTCCTGCTCTGCTCCCATCCTTCCCATGCCTGTGAACGTCAGGAATTCCCCAAAGAGCGCAGAATGACATTAAATCATGACCAGCCACCGTGTTGATGGGGCAGAGTTTATCCTCTTTCCCATTTAGATCACTCTTTCCCAGTGACCCCACCATGTTCCCGCGTTCCTGAAAAAATCCCCTGCACATCTTAAGAAGCTTGCTTCCTCCAGCTAGGAGTGGATACCGGTTTCCCTCAACCTCTGCTTCCTTTCTGGAAAAAGACAACACGGCAGAGGGCAAAGGGACCCTGGGCACAGCTGTCAAGGGAGTGTGTGGGAAGAAGGGCCCCTACCGGAAAGAGAGAAGCAAAGCCAGGGGCTTCTCCTTCATTCTTCCTGAAGCAGCAAGGGGCTGGAAAAAAAGGAGGAAGGGTTCTTCCTCCCAAGAGTGGTCACGTGGCACTTCCCAGAGATGTAAATAAACATCAACTCCCCGCAGGGAGACAATCAACTACAGGCCAAGGTCCAGCTTGGCGGACCAATGACTTTTATTGGGTTATTACAGAAGTTTGGATGTGCTGGCTAGGTTTCATGCCCACTTGATACAGCTGGGGTAGTCTTAGACAAGGAAATCTCAACTGAGAAGATACCCTCTGGATATTGGCCTATGGGCAAGCCTGTGTTGCATTTTTTGATTAGTAGTTGGTATGGGAGGGGTCACTGTGGGTGGGCAGGTGGTTCTGGGTTCTATAATAAAGCCAGCTGAGCAAGCCATAGGGAACAAGCCGAAGCCCATAAGCGGCCCCCTTTTGAGGCCTCTACATCAGCTCCTGCCTCGAATTCTCCTGCTGTGTCTTCCCTCATCGATGGAATAGAATGTGGAAGTGTAAACACAGTAAATCTGTTGCTACCCAAGTTGCTTTTGGCCATGGTATTGGATCGTTCAAATAGAAACCCTAACTAATACAGTGGGTGAGTGGAGCAGAAATGACTTGAAAACAAGATGTATTACCAAATCCCAACCCAACATGGGCAAACAGTTCTTGAACCCTGAAAACCTAGAATCATTTGAGCTAAAGACAGCTCAACAGGTCTGAGAGAATCCCTTCTTGGCAACTCAGCCTTTTCCAGGTGATTTGGAGGTCTCAAACTATGTTTCAGCAGTCCCGACTGCTCATAAAAGGGGAGAGAGAGAGGATCCTCCTGCATCTGGTCAGTTTCAGGAACTTCCTGAAGCTTTTGAGTTGTTTACTTTGTGCCTTTTCTTTATCTGCCCTTTGGAACATCCTGGGCCTTAACTTAATACTGTCCCTGTAGAGTGGAAGTTTTACCTCTTTTTAGAGCATCCTGAGTCTCAACCAGATTCTCTGCAGGAGGGAATGTATCAACTGGGAGGAAATTGCCACACAACAGAGGGTAGTTGGGTGAGTGATACCCAAAGACTAACCATGGTCCTCAGCTGAGCTCTCTCCTCCAAAATACATAGGCAAATATCAAGGGAAGGAAGATACATAAATCTCCGAGAGAGGTACCATTTGGGAATGCCTTTAAAATTGCTTTGTGTACACACCTTCTCTGCCAACTCCTACATATCAGCTGGAAGAGTATTAACAAACACTTAAAAACCTACACAGGCAGCCATGTAACAGCTGAACTTCACAAGCAGACCCCTCGGGAAGCTGCGTGCTGATTCCAGCAATTTAGCCATTGCAGAAGTGATTTCTTGAATTTGTCTTTGGAGAGTTCCATCAAGCTAATTTTGCCAAACTTTCCTGAACTAATACCCACCATCACCACCACCACCACCACCTCTTCACAATTGGCTTTTGGAAATTGCATTCATTTGTTGGATAACCAATGTGTTCACCTGTTATATATTGAGGACCTCAGACTTTCCAAGCCTTGTGGCCGGCTCAGGGGATAGAGAATTTGCTGAGCTAGAGACCCCCTGTCTTTTATGAGCATAGCAAAGATGGGAACAGCACACATGCTGGATTGATTCACTTTTTAACCCACCAACACGAATCAATTGCGCAACTTAAAGTAATTTTGCTGTGATAGTTTCATACATGTAAATATCATGCTTGGATTATGTCCATGCTCTCTTATACCCTCCCCTCTCTCCGTGTCCTCCCCTGCCACCTTCCTGTTCCCTAATAATCACTCTTCTACTTTCAAACCATCTTTTCTTTTGCTTTCCACATATAAAAGCAAATATTTGATATTTGTCCTTTTGAGTTTGGGAGTCTGGCTTTATTTTGTTCTGTTTTACTTGCTCCTTGTTTCACTTATTTTCTGCAAATGGCATAATTTCATTCTTCTTTATGATGGAATAATACTGATGTAATGGTGTGTGTGTGTGTGTGTGTGTGTGTGTGTGTGTAGTTGGTTTTCCTTTGCTGTAATAAAATCCCTTGGTATAAATAGCTAAAGAAAGGAAGAGTGTAACTTTATCCACAGGTCAAGGGTGCAGTCTATCACACCGGGGAAGTCAAGGCAGCAGGGATGTGAGTTAACTGGTCCCATTGTACCCACAGTCAGGAAGAAGAGAGATGTGTTTGCCAGATGGTTTCCCCTTTTTATGTAGTCCAGAACCCAAATGGGGAGGCTGTCCATTAGGGTGGCTCTTCCCCTCTCAACTTAATCAAGATGATCCCTTGTGGACAAGCCCTGGTTTCATTACTAAATATCCCTTATAGATGTGTCCAAAGGCTTGTTGTCTTCAAGGTGATTCTGGATCATACCAAGCTGGTGACAATATCCATTCACCTGTCGACGAACATCTAGACTGAGTTCCAAGCTTGGTTAAAAGTGCTGAGGCACAACTTCTGATTGCCAGCAAAAATCCTTCAGGAATTATGGCGTTGAGTTAAAAAAAAATGTCTTCCGTAGGCTCACGTATTTTAACTGGATCCCCAGTTGGCGGTGCTGTTTGGTGAGGTTATGGAGTGGGTTCCCTAGGAGGTGGAGCCCAGCTGGAGGAAGTCCATCCCTGGGTGTGAGCTCTGAGAGTTGACAGCCTCTCTCTGTGTGCTTTCCGCCAGTGGTTGAGGTTGTGATCTCCCTGCTCTAGTCATCTGCCGCCCTGTTCCCCCACTGTCATAGGCTCTCCCTCTGGAGTACAAGCCTCGGCGAACTCTACCGTAATCATTATCCGTAGTGATTTTCATCACAGCAACAGAAATCAGCCAGCATGGCACACACCCCGGAGTGGTATGGATTACACTTCTACAGCAGCTGCGCTAACTTACTTTCCCACTAACAATGTAAAAAATGTTTACTTTTCTCCAATCCTTGAAAATTTTGGGATTTCTTTACTCTCTTGGATATGCCAAGGATACTACGTCTGGAGGTTTTCCAACTTTCCCCGAAGCAGATGATGATATAAAAAGCAAATCATTTGGGGATAATCTTCCCTTCTTCGGGAACCATGCCTAATTTACAAATGCTTTATTGATTTATAACTAGCACACTTTGATAGTTCACCTTATTAGGTGTGTAGTTAAGTGGACATTGGTCCCTCTGATTTATGTGGCCTTCATTATTTCAGGTCAGAGCAACTTTGTCTGCCCACCAATGGCATATCTACCTGCTGGCTGCCTCACTCCTCTCTCCCTTAATGCATCTTCCCAAACCACAATCCACTTCCTGTCCTTATGGCTTTCAATTCTGGGCATTTCGTATAAAGTAAATTAGCCAAACCTAGTCTTTTTTGATTACCTCCTTTTAATTCGTATAATATTGATCGGATTTACATCTTTGGATTTTTGTATCCTTATTTTATTTCTTGGTGGGGTTTTTTGGAGGTTTTTTTTAAAAAAATACTTCTGTTATATAGATGTACTGTATTTGGTTTATCTTTTTATTAACTTATATTTTGTTATTTCTGCGTCTGAACTATAATGAGAATCTTTTGTGCACAAGTTTTATATGACCTCTGGTGTGTGTGTGTGTGCTCACATGTTTGCACAAACACACACACACACACACAGTGCACTTGTGTGTAGGTGCCCATGAAGGCCAGCAGAAGGCGTCAGATACTCAGGAATTGATGTTTCAGGTGTGGGTGAGCTGCCTAATGTGGGTGCTAAGAATAGAACCTGAAGGTCTGGAGCAGCTCCGAGTCACTCCTCCAGCCTGTGTTTTGAGTTCATGGTGTCTTCTGACCATTCCAGTTTGAATAAATTCTGACACGCTTGTAGTTTTCCTCTGTTGCCCGTTAACTATCAAGTGAATAATTATTCCAGAGTATTTCCTGAACCATCGCAACTCTAACATACATGACTACATTCCTTTTGAAATGACATCTTGTGAATGGCGTGAGGGAGGGGGCCAAGGTTTCTATCTGCCTGTAAAGAAGCCGTCAGCACCATTTGCAGAAATGACCTCTCTCTCTCTCTCTCTCTCTCTCTCTCTCTCTCTCTCTCTCTCTCTCTCTCTCTCTCTCCCTTTCTCCAATCCTGTTGCCACTATTGTTGACAATGTGCGCCTGGATTGTGAGTAATAAATATGAGCTTATTTCACAAATTTTAGCCCCACCCCATTTACCTGTGTGTGTACCTCCACCCTCTGCCTCCCCGGCGCAGCACTGATTTCTAGAGCATTTGGTAAATTTCAGCAACGTGAAACATGGAGACTCCAACCTGATTCCTCTCTTTTCAAGAATCACCTTTTGGGCTGGTTGCTTCCTTTTACATATGGATTATAAGACCCACTCCCTGATGTCAGCAAAAGGCAGTTTGGTTTTGAATGGGTGTTGCAATAAGCTATGGATCTGTCAGTGTAGGGATGACCTAATATGGTGGCACATTTACCTGTAACCTTGGGTCACCTCTTATATATTTAAATTTTCTTTGGTTGCTTTCCAATCGTGTTTCATACTTTTCATTAAGCCTCCCCCCAGCTGTTTAATAAATTATCCCAAGGACTCAAGATAGCTTTTCTTTCTCTTGTACATGAAAGCTGATGATTTTACTTTTCCTAGTTCAGTGTGAGTGTGTAGAAACACAACTGATTTTGTGCATGAACCTTAAATCCCAAAGCCCGTACTAAGCTTATATAATCTAGCAAGATTTTATTTTTTTTAATTTTTTTATTTTTTTGGTTTTACGAGACAAGGTTACTCTGTATTGTTTTGGAGGCTGTCGGTCCAGCCTGGCCTCGAACTCACAGAGATCCGCCTGCCTCTGTCTCCTGAGTGCTGGGATTAAAGGCATGCGCCACCACCGCCCGGCTGCAAGACTTTAACATATGAAAAATTTTCTAAAACAAAGGGCTTCCTTCCTCCCCCCCCACTCTTTCCCACTGGATGCCTTCTATTTATTTTTCTCTTATTTCAGTTTTACTGTATTTGTATGTGCATGTGTCTGCCTACGTGTGATATATACAGAGCACTACATGCCTGCATGTGCCCTCAGAGGTCAGAAGACAGCATCGGATCTCCTGGAACTAGAGTTACAGGTGGTTGTCTGCCGTCATGTGGGTGCTGGGTCCTCTGAAAGAGAAAACAAGAAGAGTTCTTAACTGTCATGCCGTCTTCCAGCCCGTTTGTCTTATTTGATTTCTATTTTCTATAGTGTTCCTTACACTATTGATGGGGGAATAAGGATTTTGAACATATGCCTATTAAGGAATGCTGGATGTTTTCCTTTTTCTTTCTTAAAATTTTATTTATTTGTTTGTTTATTGAGACAAAGTCTCACTATGAAGTTCCAGCTGGCCTTGGGATTGCTTTGTAGACAAGGCTGTGCTTGAACTCACAGACATCTGCAGGTCTCCGCCTCTGGAGTGGTGGGATTAAAGGCATGCATGAAACACCATACCCAATATACACCACCACGAACACATCCTAGACTGTGATCTAAGGACACAGGCTTCCAACAGCCTCCTGTGGGTATCTCTTTCACAAATAACTTCTTTCATTTTTGACTTTGATTTTTTTGTTGTTGTTGTTTGTTTGAGTCTTATAGTCTTGGCTAGTCTTGAACTCATGATGAATCCAAGAAGAACCTTGGGCTCCTGATCCACCTGCCTTCATCTTCCAAGTGCACATACTTTTAAGTTTATAGTCAGCTCTTTTGTTCCCCACTAGTAATGCTGCCCCAGATCCCTGCATTACTCAGTAATCTCCAAGTGTTGAGTTCAACAATGACCAGAGACAAGCCTCTTCCCACAGAGGGAGCCTCCATTCAAAACCGTAAGTCTTAAGAGCAGGGCTTTTATCAAAAAAAAATCTGCCCAACAAGCAAACTCTTGACACTTCTTGGGAATGAGAGCTTTAGTGGAATCTTGACTCTGTACTTCTCCCTCAGAAGCTCTGTGTGTTTTCACACCTGCTCTGTTGTGGGAGTAAGACAAGTTCAAGTCTCTCTGCTTCCCTTTCTCCTCCCCAGTTCTCACTGCTGGGGGCCCCTTGGTACCTAGAGCCCTGCTCAGGTTAGCACGAACCCTCTTGCTGGTTTAGTCTGCTGGCTTTTCTGCAGGTGGATTTTGAGCAGCCCTGACCGCCACTCCTCTGACCACGCCTTCCTTCCTCTTTTTTTGACAGACCAGCCAACACCCTCATCCAATCCATTCATTCTCTGTTTGCAGGTAAAGCGGGGTCCTGCACAGCCTCCAGGATGAAAGAGCTGGAAACCTTCTTGCAACAACTTCCAGTGAGACCAGCTCAAAACCTTTGATTCCAGGTGAAAACCAAAGTAAGGACATGAACTTAGTTGGCATTTGACTAAAACACAGCTTTGATGAAATTACATACATAGGCAAGAAATGCTTTTTTCCCCCCTTTTTGGTACAATGTAATCAAGTGACACAAATCCCTGCAAGACTCCATGACTGAAGCCCATAAGAAGCAAGCGTTCAAATGCAATGTTGAAATTATCAGGAACAATTAACCACTGTCACGCTGATAAGTCCCCAGAACAATTAGGAGTGACTCAGACCCCATGAAAGACACTTGGGCCTCCACCCCCTCCCCCGTTGCCCCTCTCACCAAAAGCACTACTTCAGTTTATTTTTATTTTCTTTCCCAACAGTCACCGGCCTCGGCTCAGATGGCACGGATCCGTTCCTTCACAGCCATTTTTTTCTGAACATAAGCAGGCTGCATTTAAAACTCCCCAGCTCATCCGTCTTCATTTGAGGACTGGGTTAAAAAACAAAATTAATGATTGCTATCAGCGAGACGACGAGCAGCATCTTTGGTGAAAAGTAGATCTGCCACGATTGTCCAAGGCTGACATCTTTCACCAGCTGGAAATGGCTGGATGTACTTGTAAACATTATTAAAAATAATAACTTAATGTTTCCTTCCTGTGACTCGCTAGCATTAGCAAGGTAGTTCCAATTAGTATTTCCTCTGAGTGAGGGAGGCTTTTTTTTTTACTTCGTTTCATTTAAAGGGGGGTTTGTTCTCTAATTTTTCTCCGCTGCCGTTGTCAATAATAGAACAGAGCCGAACGGCCGGCTACCTTCCTCCCATCACTTACGCCTTGCAAAGCCGGAGCAAAGGAATATGCATCTTTGATTTTATTTGTTTTAGCTGCGCTTGTTCTGAGGGAGAGGAGACACATTTACATCCCTGTGGTCGCTATGGGATTGTGTGGAGTCTTAAAATACAAGTAAATCACATGGAGGGACTAAATCATTTTGTAGGGTTTTGAGAGTGAAGGCAAATCATTCAATGATAGATTAATAAGAATGGCTGAGAATGGTGTGCTTTTTTTTCCATGGGAGGAGACCCAGCTCTGAGTTCCTCCAAAGGGCAGATAGGAAGAAAAGAGGGCGGGGAGGAAGGGGGAGGATGGAAGGGTAGGTGCCGCCACCACCCAGGTGCTCTGCATGTTGGCCTTACCTCCAGTTCTAATGAGAACCCCTTTAACAGACTCATCACACTTTATTACACTCAAAGAAAAAAAAACACGCTTCTAAATGCTAAGCCACCGAGGCACGCATTAGTCCAAATGCGAATCTGCAAGATGTGCTTGGCAGCCTCAAGGTATGAGCTGCTTCCGATTCCAACACAAACTCGGTGAATATTCCAATTGATTATGTGGGGCAAACCAGGTGCCATTTACTCAAGTGAATATGTAACTTGCATACGCAACATGATCTCACCCCCTTGTTTATCTTCTTCTCCAGAAAGCCTCCCAAAGACGTAGGCACTGGCACACAGGCTGCTCACCAACATGCAGTCCATGCCTTGGCTGTGCTGTCTGGGGTGAGCTGACCTCCACGGGACTCTTTAGTATCAGGGGAGAGCAAATCATTATGTAGAAGATTGAAGGCGTTGTTTACATCAATTAAGTCCAAGGCTGGGGTGGAAAGGACCGTGTAAAAATCTGATTGCTTTCTTTTAAAGTGTTTGGGTTTTTTTCCCCTGGGGACTGTGTTCTTGGGCTCTGATGCAGGTTAAAGTTTAGGCAGAGGAGAGGACACTGAGCCTGTCAGTGTCCGTATGTCCCATGAGGTGCTGCTGTCTTTCTGTGTTCTGAAACATGACAGGGTTGCAGTTGCCAGGAACTGATGAGGACCAGAGGAAGCAAGGAGGGGAGGAACACTGAATGCCACCAAGTAAGAAAGGAGCTTCCAATGTGTGTGTGTGTGTGTGTGTGTGTGTGTGTGTGTGTGTGTTGGGAGTGGGGGAGTCCAGTACATGGACTCTCTGGAACTGAGAAAGCACAGAAGTCTCCAGTAGAGACCTGTTTGCAGAAAGGGATATGACCACCTCCTTAGAAGGGTCTCTCCACTGTGTAGCCTCCCTGTTGTACTGCAAACATCCAAGCTTCTGGGCACACTCTCTACTCAGCTCAACAACAGCTACCTTGTGTAGTGGCCAGAGCTCACATCTGTCAGTGTCACGTGAACCTGCCAGCCCAGGATGAGGGAGTCAAAGAGAGGCTCTGCTTATTCAATTATGACACGATTCAGACATCCCCATAGGGTTGGACACGGAACTGCAGAGTTCATATTTTGAACCATCCGTTGACATGAAACCCATGGGGCACAGGTAGGATGTTCAACCAGATGAATGCTAGAGAAAGCCATGAGGGACAGAAAGGAACCGGAGAGGGGTGACAGGCCTCTTCCAGAAGAGGGAATTCAAGAGAAATGACAACAGAAGAAGAGTGGGCAAGAGCAGAGGAGACAGAGGCAGCCAGGCTTGTCTGGGTTTTGACCATGCAGTAAATTCTGGGGAGAGGTATTTAGAAAATCTGCCTAGTTGTCCCTTTTGTCTCAGAGCAAGGGAGTCTCACAGTGAAGTCTGCAACACAGTCTGACTTTGAGTGTCAATGTTGACTCTCAGGGCCCATCACTGTTTTCCCAAAATGCACACTAACCTCAGTCCTAAACATTTGGAAAGCGATAGGAATTCAGAGACATGAAAGAAAGCAACTCTGCCTCTCTGGGGGTTTTCAAGACATGGGAGAGGGGGGACTTGTTGGGAAGCAACTCTCACCCCTGTAACCAAAATGCCTGGCGTAAATGACTGAATGATGGGCGGGTCTATTTTGGTTCACAGCTTCAGAGGCTTCTGTCCATCCAGCTGTGGAGGGAGGGGTAGGGCATCTCATATCGTGGCATCCAGGACGCAGAGAAAGGGAATGCCTGAGTTTTTGGTTTCCTCCTTAAGATCCCCAGTTTAAGGATGGCACTGACCACATTCACTGGGGGTCTTTCTCCTGTAATTCTCTCTGGAAGCACATTGAAAGAGGATACAGAATGCTTTATGTTGCTGTGAGAAAAACACAGAATTAACATAACTGACAGAAGAAAGGTAATTGTGGCTCATGATGTCAGAAAGTCGTGATCGGTCATGGCAGAAAAGGTCTCCTAAAGATTACACAGACTTCCAAAACACTGCTCCAACTCAGGAGCAGGTGCTCAAAAGACCGGCCTGTAGGAACGGTGCAGATTCTAGGTGTGACATAGACATGCCCAGAGGCATGCTATACTGTCCTACATACTAGTGATGTCAACAATCCAGATTTGCCGTCACACCATCTTTTTGAGCAGCCCAGAGCATGCCAGACCCGCCTACAACATACCATCGATGATCCAGTCAATGTCACTTCCAGGCAACCCTTAATTAAAGGCGATGTCCATAGTTTCATAGACTACATTGGGATTTTTTTTCCTTCCCCATTTCCCCAGAATTAACACAAGCGATTTTTTTTTCAAAAGGAAAAAAAATGCTGTCTTCCAAATCAGATTTGGTCCCCAATCAGATTTAGAATCTCTGACTGCAGAGTTCGTGTGGGAGCCATGCCGGGCTCAACACGTGCTGTGGGACAGACCCACAGACAAAGCACACTGGCCTATTCTCTGCACAAAAGGAAGGAATTGACAAAGTCTAAGAGCTCAAAGTTCTAAGAGACAGAGGGAAGAGGCTGCGCCAGAGAATGGCCCGCTGCGCCTGCTGATTTGTTAGGTCTCTCAGTGTTTGTTGTGTGACAAGTTGGACTTTGGTACAAGGTCAGCTCTTGAATCTTGATTATGGTTTTTTTCCCCTTGAGCCAAGAGACATTGATCTGTACATCTGGTTTACCTTGTTTTCTTAGCCATTTGTGACACAGTACAACAGTTCCCATCGAAAAAGGTGTCATGTAAATAAATTACAACTTAGGACGTATACATTAAATAATTTTATAAATGAACTTTAAAAATGAAGGAATAAAAAAAAAATGCCAGGCCTGGCTTGTAGAGCCACAGTGATTATTCTGATCATGTTGTCATGTGTAATGAAGCACAGGCCCGTCATTAATCAAAAGAACCAATCAGATAACTAATTTAGGCAATATTCTTTACAACAGGACATGTCGGTCAGTAAAAATGCATTAAAATAGCAAAAGATCAATAGCCGCCACCAGAGGCTGTGTTTACCAACCAGCCTTAAAGTTTAAGGCATTAAATTCTCAGTCATATTGGGTATCTGTTTGGTAAAGATAAAGGAAAACTTTAGAGAAATGAAAGTTTTTTTTATAGTTAATAGTAGGGTCATAATATGTACTGTAATAAATGGACAGAATGTTGCATTATTTTGTGACAAATGGCGAAAATGTCCCCCAGCTCCCTTCAGAAGAACTGCCAAGGCTCACAATGTGGTTTTTTTTTTAAAAGAAAGATCATAGAATGAAGGGGATGTACAAATTTGTCCAAAGATGACGACAGGAGCCAGGCAGGGGCCTGGTTATTTAACGACGATTTATGTTTAAGCAGCTGTAGTCTGGGAGCCACAGTCAGAGCCGGCACCGGACAAACGGTGAAGTTTCCACCTTACCTGCTACTGAAGCAACCGTTCTCTCTCCAGAAGGTGGTCCAGCCTCCGTGCAGCATGCCCCTAGGCCAGAGTGCCAGCTAGGTCAGTTTTTTTATGATGAGAAGTTCTGAGGCATCCTTCCTTTCGCTAGAAGGGAATCCATCCCAAAGGAAACGGAAACGCCCGCTGTTGAGGTTGCTCGGCTCCGTGTCTGCCGGAGAAACACTTCTCCAGCTGGGCATCCTGGCACGGGCCTATTACAGTCCCGTCTACCCTGGAGGCTGAGGCAGGTGGATCACAAGTGTTCAAGGCTGTTTGAACTGCATAGGGGTTCAAAGCCAGCCTGGGACACTTAGTGAGACCCTGTCTCAGAGTGAAAGGTGGACTAGGGGCAGGGGGTGCATGGTGGATCACTTCCTCGGCATGCATAATTGAACCATGAGGGGGGGAAGCAGAAGGGAGGGAGGAAGGGAGGAAAGAGGGGGTGCCTACTGGGCCCCCCAGGTTCTCCTTGTCTTTAGTTTATGAGCCAAAGTATAGCAGAGCTGAGAGTAGGCTATGGCAGAGCTGTTGCCCTCCAATGAGAGTCTTTGGCAACTGCTAACACGTACTGATGTGTCCCAAGCTCTCCTAACGGCACATAACCCCATGATAAAGGCATGAGTCACTGCTTAACACATGCCAGCATTCATACAGCACCTACTAACTACCTGCAGATCTCACTACCCGTATTTGAAAACCAGAAAGAGAGACAAAGAGGCCTTGGCTTGACCAATGAGAGACACACAGAATACGGTGTCTCTCAACGGGAGGAAGGAATGAGAGGTAAGGATGTGTGTGGGGGGGTAAAGCAAGTGGAGAAAGGGCGGGAGGAGGGGACTCCTCCCACACGCCATTCCCTCCTGCTGCTGCTTCAACGTTTGTGCCCACTTTTGTGTAGACAACACAGCCAGAAACCAGGATGTCCACGCTTGCGTTATGTTCCTCCCCGTCTCGCTTCTGAGTTTTGTGCTCTGTGCGGTGAAATGGATGACACCGGA